GCCCAGGATCCTGCAGCACACAGGAGGCCTGCGTTCCCTTTGTTCTTCCTTCCTCACCAGCCATCCAAGTGAACATTGCCACTTTCTTCATACTCCTGAGCTCAGAGCCTACTCTCGGTATTGATTTCACCTTCCAACCCCTCCACTCCCAGCATCTTTCTGATCCCGGACCATGTATATGGTCCATCTCCTCCCTCACTTTGGTCTTGGTCCTCAAGGCAATGTTTCTGAATTTGACTCTTGACCCTCAGCAACCCTGGTCACACTAACGAGCCAGCTTCATCTCTTGCCTCTTGCTTCTTTCCATCTCTACTAGTTATTTACAATCAAGAGCAAAGCCTCTCTCTCTTTCTCTCTCTGTCACACACAGACACACAGACATACAGACACACACACACACACACACACATACACTGGTCTTTTGGCTTTTAACCCATCACAAAACCCCACCTGCTCCCCACCCACTCAGTCCCCAATCTTAAATCTCTCTCCAGTCCCAACTCCCTTGAACTCTGTGAGTGGACTGTCTCTTCTCTGGAACATCCCTACAGGAACAGTGTGCTCTGAGGTCGCCCACCCTTCTGGGTCACCTCCCTCAGTCCCCTTTGCAGCTCCTCTTTCTCTGCCCTCAGCCTATGCAGACCCTACAGTGGGACCTGGGTATCCTCCTCCTGGCACATGGCCTTCCCCAAGGAGTCTGACTCCCCCCTCACCTCCCTGAGACTACATTTATTATCCATTCATTCATTCATTCCCTGACTTGCAGGCTGAGCACCAGTTCCTAGAGGGCAGTGTCTTGCCCCACAGAGGCCTTACACTCCACCCTGAGAGCCAAACTCCTTACCCTTTACTGCCAACCTCAGGGCTTCTTGTCTACCCTGTAGTCTGCACTTGCTAACCTCTCCAGATGAATGGCTCACCACTCCCTCCCTTACCTGCTCCTCTCCAGCTGTACTAAAATGCCCTCCAGTTCCATCTGGCTTCAGAGCCCCATATATGCTGTTTCTGTGGTAGAAGCATTTTTCCTCACTTGCTTTCCCCTCCCTCAATCTTTAAATGGCTGTTTTAACTCTTAGGTCTTAGCTTAGACACCATTTCTTCCTAAGGACCTTCTCAGACTGCCCAAGTCAATGCCAGGAGCTCTTCCCCAGGCCCCAGTCTCTCTCTCTAGAACCCCCATCCGACCCATGGCTCTCACTGCACAAGAATGTCAAGCTAGTAGTTCCTGGGGCCTCACTCGCCCCTGAGAGACTATCAGCAGTTAATGGTTGCCAGGGGAAGGAGCACCATTTTCTCCAGTGGTATAGACACTGGAAAGCTGCTCTTGCTTCAGTAAATCACACCACCACCACGAGCACCCATACTCAGGCAAGCCACCATGGTTAAACTCAATGGGTGAGAAAACAAAAGACATGAAAGGAGGAAGGGGATTTGCTAGGAAGAAGAGTTTCAGGGATGAGAGATAGGGAGTAAATAACTAAAATTCATTATGTACGTATATAAAACTGTCAAAGATTTTAAAAAATGCAAAATTGGGCTGGAGAGATGGCTTAGCGGTTAAGAGCACTGGCTGCTCTTCCAAAGGACCTGGGTTCAATTCCTAGCACCCACATGGTGCTAACAACCATCCATAACTCCAAATCCAGCACCCTCTTCCAACCTCCACAGGCATTGCAGACACAGGTGCACTTACATACATGCAGACAATATACTCCTACACATAAGATAAAAATAATAAAATATTTTTAATGTAAGCCTGACTGTGCCTTATTTGAGTTCTCAGCTTTCACACAAATAAAACAGCACACAGTAGGCACCCACCAGTGTTCAGATTTGTTGAATTTTAAGTTGAATAAAATGAGGCTTTTTCCGTCTGGGTCCCCTATAACCATGAGACCTGGAGGACACATGGTTGAACTTTGTGTCCCCATGGTAAATGTTGATTCTGCTGTAACTACTTCTTGAAGAAGGTGCTGATGGGCAGACCTATGTGTATTCATCCTCCTGAGCTGGGGAAATCTGTTGGTTCAGGTAATGAGTTAGGTTAGGACTGCCATCCATGGTGAGGCCATAGGAGTCCCTATACCTCAAGGAGATGTCAAGTAGGCAGCCCTCCCCACCCCCACCACCCCCAGGAGAAGGTCCTTCTTGGCTGCATGGGTATCAGAGCAACATGCTGAGGACTTGCCAAGGGCCTACAAGAAATGGACCCCCATGTGGGACCTTTCTGGACTGCCTTCAACAGGTTGCTGGCAAATATCCTACTGCTTCCCTAAGAACTGAGAAGCTGGGGTGCTGGAGCCCCAATAGACTGCATGTCAGGGCTTCAGAGCTATTGGTCAGCCCAGGGACCAAGGAAGCTCCCTGGCCCCAAGCCCTGAGCCACAAACTTATCATCTGTGAGGGACCAGAGGCGGATTTTAGAAGATCCAGAGCTGTGCGGCAAATGTGGCCCAATATCCTGGCACCAGAAGACTGTTCTATGGGAACCAGTCTCCAGCAAGTTGGCTCTGAGCACACAGCAGGTGGTGCCCATCTGCAGGGTCCAAAAAGTACTAAGCGCTCTGAAGGAGCAGGTAAGCTGCTGAACCTCTGCCAGGACCTGGAGTTGTACACCAGTCTCAACTGTGCACACATTTGTGAGCACACATTCACTCCCAGAGACCATTAAACTACAGAAATCAGACATACCAGGGAGACATCGTGCCATTTTCTTGAAGATTCAGCTCCTGGTGGTTCAGGGCAGGTAAAGGAGCTTGCTTAAGGAAAGGGGCACAATTGGAAACTTCTAGACTCAAAGTAGACAGAGCAGCCACCTCACTCTTAAGTCACCCATTCCTGGTAAACAACTATGTAACCCTGAACCTCAGTTTTCTCATCTGTAAAGTGAAAGAGAAGTGGTGCCAACCCCACTGGTAAACTGGAACAGGACAGAGCTGGGGACACACATTACTTGTGTATGACAGGGCTGCCTTCACTGCTTCTGTTGGAAAATCGCTCATTTTTCATTGCCCCAGAACTCCAGAATTTGACCGAGATTTCCATCTCAGGGGCTGATTTCATGTGTTTTTGGCAGACACATCATCTTTCTAATAGTCACATATTTTTCCTTCTTTATAGGAGGTAGGGGGAAGAAATGTTCTATGCCCAAAAGTCAGACTTAGGATCCAAATGTTTCCTTGTTTATCCACTGACTGAGGATCTACATTATAGATGGGAGAGACAGGCATAAATAAGTTATGTAGTAGGTGAAAGGTCATGTGTACAATTAGCATGGGGGAAGTTGAAATGGGTGGGGAAGATAGGAGCCGGTTGAACATTAAATGGATTGTCAACACAGACCTCACTAAGGGATGAGAGCTAAAGGAGGTGTCTAGGGAAGAACCCATTCCAGGGGGAAGGGATGGCTGGGTGTGTGCCTGGAATGTCTGCAGACATCTCCTCAGCCCAGACTTCAGGCCCACCCCTTAGCCCTTGATTCTTATCTTGAGTATTTAATAGCAACCAGGATGGGCCCAAGCCTACAAGTGGGAGTCTTATCAGACTGGAGCTAGAATCTGAGGCTCTGCCTCCCCAAAATGCCCATATGCCTTGTATAACATCATCCTACAGGGGCACTTGTTCGCTGTGGAGAGATCCCTCAAAGCCAACTCCACTCAGGCCTCCACTTCTGTTGCTGCCCAGCTGGGCTCACATCCTGATGGACCTGCAGGACCAGACTCCACCTTTAGCCTGAGATGGGGTCCACTCATGCCCAGTCTAGCAGTGGTCCAAATCCACAGCCAGCTTCTCCTTGGGTGCAACAAAGAACCACATCATGCAGTTGACCACATATCACACAGCCCCCTACCCCCAACCACCATTCACCTCAATCACTAGTCCTCACACCAGTGTTTTCTAAACCACCAAGGAACAGTGAATGGGTTTGGAAGCAGTCAGTCCTAGAAAATGCAGTGGTCTGAGTGATGTATGTATGGGCTGATGGGTGGTTGAGAGCTGGGAGTGAGCAGGTTAGTAGACCACCAAGGAACACATATCATGAGAGGAGACAGCCTTCCCAGAAAGTGCTTTGAAGAGAAACATGCTTCTGTCCAGCACTGCCTCAGGCCCTTCCTACCCATAAGTCCCGGCTCTAGTACTCTAGCCAGGCTCATACCTAAACCCTCACCTGCCTCCTGCATTACTCAAGTGGAACTGTGGATACCAAAGGCACATTCTCTGGGCACCTTGGCCCTGTGAGAGGTAGGCCAGACTTCTTCAACAATTGCCAACTTCCAAATTGTTTCTTCATTTGAACTCTTACAAAGAGCAGTAGTAGGCAAAACAGAGAAGTGGAACTGGTCTGACCAAAGAGAAAACAAGGAACCTGCTAGAACAGTAGCCCTCACCCAGCCCAGCCCACCCCTGTTCCTCAGCCAGGGCCCAGGACTCACAATCACCCACCAGGTTTAGTATCAAGAGCAGGGAAAGCCTGGCTCTGCTGGGCCTGAGGCCCCCAGCAGGAAGTGTGGTCACAAGTAAGGGCCACGGGAGATGGCTGCCAGGACCAGAATAGATGAGCCATGTGTGTCTATATGTCTGTGTGTCTGCCTGCCTGTCTATCTATATTTATGCATCTTTCATGTGTAAGAAAGTGCATGTGTATGTAAGACAGAAATCTCAATTGACGGGTAATTTAACTCTACAAGGCCATGGTCACAGTCATTTCACCAAATGGCAATAAAATTTACAGAGAAAAAAGATCTCCCCAAATAACAGGGACCTTTCTGAACAGGGAGTGGTGTAATAGTGCTATGTAACCTAGGTCAGGCTCACAGCAACCCAGGCAGGTGGGCAAACAGAAAGAGGACCTCGTCCCCCTCAGGTGCCCCATAAAACCTGGTCCCGAGACCCAGGTCAGGGCCAGGTCCCCATGCCTGACATCAGTCTCCACGTGGCAGGGAGTGATTCTCAGTTCATGGTGGGGAGTCTCATACCTCACCACAATGGGAGGAGCTTACCCTCAGTCATTCAGCATGCAGTAACAGGGAGAAATCAGCCAAAGCCTCAGTCACCTGCCCCCAGAGCCTCCAGACTTTGGGGAGCTGTTCTGTGCAGCCACCTGGTCCACAGACAAGCAAAAGAAAAGGAGTTTAGATAGTCTCCTGAATGATCCCCAAGCCCTGGCTGTCCCTCCCACATATGGCTCAACCCTCCAACCTCAGTATCACTGTGATGGTGGCTGTCTATGTGGCTGCATGACCAGGATTGGTCTTCCTTTGCTCATGAGGCCATTTGGGATGTCAGGGGCACTCTCTGAGCTTGGAAGCAGAAGTGCTGTGAGAATGCCCTTTGGGGGCTCTAGTGCTGTAGAAGATCTTGAAGTGGGATGTGGCCAAGCAAGCATGGTCCCACAATGAGACCTGTCCATTCTATGAGTCCAGTCTATGGCTTTCTACAGTCCACTGGAGGTCATTCAGGAGGCTACCTAAACTCCCTTTCCTTGGCTTGTCTGTGGACCAGGTATCTAGTTGTAGCTTGGGATCATCTCTTGGAGGACTGATGACAGTTTCCCCAAAGCACGAAGCCCCTCCGTTCCTAATGACCAGGGCACCTGCTCCCTAGACACCCTGCCTGAGCCTGTGCTGTTCTTCCGTCCCTCATACTGCTCCTTTGATGGAGAGCATGCTATCAGAGTGAGGTGGCCATGGTAGCTCAGGGCTGAGCAGAGTATGGGACACCCACTCAGGAGCCTCTGGGGCATAATTCAGGATGGGTCTTCCCACTTCAATTAATAATCAAGACAATCCCCCACAGACATGCCCACGGGCCAATCTGTTCTAGATAATTCCTCATTGAGTCTCCCTTCTTGGAGTGATTCTAGGTTGTGTCAAGCCCCATACTCCTTTCTCTACAAAACTGAGCCCACCTCCCAGCAGCACCTCTGATAAGCATTATCTCCATCAAACACATCTCTCTGAACCAGGGCAACCTCACTCAGCCTGTCACTGGTGTGGCTGGGAGGTAAAGGCCACCATTGGGTCCACCATCCTTTGTATCGTGGAATTCTCAAACACCAGGAAAGACAAGAGAGCAGCTAGGGCTTGTTCTGCAGCTCTGCTTAGTATGTCAGGCCCATCACTTGGGCTTCTTCCCTCCTCCCTCTGAGAACAGGGCAGATAGGCCCAAGCACTATCTGGTGTCTCACAGCATGTGAGGCCTGGAGATCCCAGAGGTTCCTGAGTGAGTGTCCCAGCCAAGCCACCATGGCCACCTCACTCTGATAGCATTATCTCCATCAAAGGAGCAGTATGAGGGACCAGAGAACAGCACAGGCTCAGGCAGGGTGTCTAGGGAGCAGATGCCCTAATCATTAGGAATGGAGGGGCTTCATGTTTTGGGGGAGCTGCCATCAATCCTCCGAGAGAGGATCCCAAGGTACAACTAGATGATGGACTCACAGGTGACCCTTGTGAGGCCTCAGGTGGACACTGTGAGGCTCTATGGATTTGTCTGTTCTAGTTTCGTTTCTGTTGCTATGACAACTGCCCTGACAAAATAAAAGACTGGGGAGAGGAAAGGGTTTATTTGGCTTACAATCCCAGGTTACAGTTCATCATTTCATGGAAATTAAGGCAAGAAGTTAAGCAAGGCAGGAAGCTAGTCACATCACATCTACAGCCAAGAGCAGAGAGTAAAAAATCCAAGTGGCCTCCCTACCCTGGCTTGTGCCTCAGTTCTGTGTCTCTCTCATGTTGCTTCTGGGTAGCTATGGCCATCTAGCCAATGTGAGTTCTAGGACAGGAGTGAGCCTGCCCCACCACAGCTGCCCTGAAAGACCACCGAAGGAATAGATGATGGAGGTGACAATGCAGCACACAAGCAGGATGATTCAACCCACTCCACAACTGCTATCTCCACAGAATAGATGTTTGGGATAAAAAGAAGTATTCTTTCTTTTAAAAATGCTGGGTCTGATGTTTTGATTTGAGAGGATGAACCATCCCAGAGGTTTCCTATATAAATGGAGTCAGCACCCTGACTGAGTCTTATCAACTCTTCCTGTCCCTTTAAGATGCTCTGTTGATGAATATGCACCTAAGAGGTTGGCAAGTGTTGCCTGTCACCTCTGGATTTTTTTAGGTGTGTGAACATCCAGAAATCAGCATGGTTCTAATTTCTACTTGACAGGTTGTTGTACTTTAAAATGAAAAATGTGTCAACTTCAGACCTCCCTTTCTTCCCAGCACCCTTAGTATTAATGGTGTTAGAAGCCTCTGAAGTCGTGTTCTGTCCATGGTTGTGAAATGCAGGCACTGGGCAGGAGCCTGTCCCTGATCCCTGCTCCAGCTAGAGGAGGGTTATATGCCATCAGCTTCGGCCTGGAGCAGAAGAGCCAAACTCTAAGTGTTCCTAGAAGGAATGCCTGCTCCACCCCAGGGATACCTCTCCACTGCCTAGGGATACCACCCACTGCCCAGGGGCACGTATCCAACTGTCCAAGGGCACCACCCACTGCCTAGGGACACCTCTCCACTGCCCAGGGGCACCTCCCCACTGTTGCCTCCTGGCCACCTGCCACCGGCAGAAAGAACTGAGGAGTAGCCCTCTCTACTTCCCAGACAACAGACGGACCCAACCCTGTTGGCCTCATCACCTATTTTGTGACTCCTAGCCAATGATCCCTTCTTATATGCCTTAGTTTCCCAGTCTCTAAATTCAGGGTTCTTAGAGAATCCATCAAAACAAATATTTGTGATGATTAGTGAAACTAAAGACCCTTGTTTCTTGAAACTGGGACCCTTTCACTTAGAATCTAGAAGCTCAAGGTTTTTCCCAGGTGGCCTTTGTCCTCCACAGGTACTGCTCTGCCTGCTCTGCCCTGTGGTCACCCCTTACTCGCTGGAATACCCCAGAAATAGTTTCCTCCCACACTTATTAACTCACTAAGTTGATTTTCAGCCTCACAAAGGAGCCTTCTCAAGACCACAGGACCCTTTCTGAGCCCAGTTAATCCTTGAGACAGGCTAAGTGTGCAGAAGCTACCCATAGCCTCCAAGGCTCAACAAGCCCAGGCCACCTCCACATATCACTCGGCTCTCATAGGCTGAGGTACCGTGACTAGTGAGGCGTCACCATGGATCCCGCCTTGAGCCCACACTGTTTCTTGTCTTCTGAAAGAAGACAGAGGGGTTTATACCACAGCACAGTTCAGTGACTGTAATGCCCCCACCCCCTTTCCCCTGGAGCTAGGAAGACCTCATGTTCCAGAACAAATAGAACTGAGGAGGAACTTCAGGAATCGGTCACAGTCCATTGCCTGTAGCTTCCATGGTTTCAAAATCGTCGTCGCCCCCACCCCCATCTTCCCCAGAGGACCTCCCAGCCCTTGACTTCAATTGCCACAGCACTTGCTATGTAGGCCTAGACCATTCCAAGGTCCCCAAGTCTCTTCTCCTATAAGATGCCCTCAAGGCATCTTCCCTTCTTAAAGTTCCCCTCACAAGCTGCCGGAGAGGAACTAGCTGATCTTGTTCCTCCTTGTAACTGGGAAGCAATCTCCCCCTAGGTCCCCAAGGGCTTCTGGTGCTGGGAAAGGGCTCTCCCAGGGACCAGCAGTCCTTGAAGGCCCTGTTTTGTACAGGTGGGAAGACAGCAGCAGCAGTGTCTTGTTCTTTGAGAAGGTGGCATTTCTGCTACAGTCTAGGGCAGGAAGCAACTAGAAGGGCTGGGCTGGAAAAGAACAGTCCGGCACCCAGGCCACAGCCTCCCAGAAGGCAGTGAGCACTGGATTTCCTTGCAACCCAGGTCACAAGGATATCTTGGGGACTCCAATGAGGGGCCCAGAAGCAGGAATAAGATGGTGTGAATGGGGGTCCTGAGGGGGCCCGGGAGAGCCTCCAAAACATAAGCACCTTTGTCAAAAAGGGTGGTAATATTCAGTCACAGACCCAAAGAGAGGTTGACAGGACACTCTGGAGAAAGAAACAGAACAAAACCAGGAAGCCTAGGTCTGAATGGGGACTTTACCATCTGAGGATATATGGGGAAGGGTTAGGGTTGGAGAATGATGTACTGCAACCAAGGGAAAGAAAGCTCTCTGGGTGCTGGGGCACTGATGCCCAGTATCTCGTGGGGAAGGACTTCCCATCCCAGAATCCAGCTGCTTCTACCATAAAAACCTTAAGAATCACTTCAGGCCTCCAGAAATTGGAGAATCATGCAACCCTTAGACAGAACAGCATTCTAAAAACATCATCTGGTCCTCCTACCTATAGGGAAGGAACCTGCTAGCTAACTCTCATAGAAGCCCCAAGGCTATCGAGGTCATCATACAGGTGCGGGTAGCCAGCAGGATTCAGAAAATCCCAAGACCCAAGACGGGGCAGTGCCAGGGTGGGCACTAGGACTCCCACTTTCTAGCCAAAGGTCTTTTCTCCTGTTTCTGGAGACCAGGAAGTCAAGGGGGGGTGTGGGGGCTTACGCATGGGCAAGAAGCATAGGTATACTTCCCCATTCCTCACTCAATCATCCTTTCCAGCTTGCAGAGCTTTCTGCCCACTATTTAACCTGAGCCTCCGCTTCCCCAGCAAAGAGGAACAAGTCATCCCCACCTCACCAGAGTGCTCACCAGAGGAAAGCCTAGTTCCCTTCCCTGGCCTCTTTCCCTCCTCCTTTCTTAATTTAAGTCAAGCCAAATTGGTTTCCCTCATCAGCCTTACTAATTTCCGGTCCCTGAGAGTTTCCAAAACTCAAATGCCTTGTAGTTCAACACCCACAGCCTGAGCTTCCTGTTGTCTTCCCATGTGGTCCACATACCAACGGGATGGGCACAGAGTAGGGTCAGCTCCCGGGACCCTGCACCAGTCAAGACCAGTCACAGTGGCGCAAATAGTTTAATTATTAACTCTCCATTGCCTCCCACACACATTCGTGAGATACTAAGCCCTTCATCTCATTCAATATAACTTGGCTGCCCACAGGACCAGAGCACCAGCATGCCTGGGTTCTGAGTCACTCCTCAATGTGGATTTTCATTCCTTCTGGGTTTCTTTCTTTCTTTCTTTTTGTGGGTTTTTGTTTTGTTTTTCAATGTATGTTTTTATTGAATTTTTGTGCATT